ATGTGTTTATTATTAATAAATTTCACATATAAATTATTGAATACACACATATGTCAATAAAAGACATTCAACTATCTTTTATAGCTTGCAGGGTATTTTTGTGAAATGCAATTACGTTGTCAGCATTGACAATATTGATTCGTTGTATTGGAAATAAAGCATTAGAGATTTTGTAGTTGGAAGGATAGTATACGTGTAAGTTTCCTCAGAAGCAGTTTGTTTTTGTTTAAGTATAACGGACTGTAATGATTTATTTACAAATGTATATAGTACAAAATATATTAGTGTGCAAAACTATATACTGAAACAATATACAGAATAATATTTAATATTTTATTAAAAGTGGTTTCATAGTGATATGTCTACACCTCATCTTGAAACAATGAATGAAGGCACACGTAAACAAGATGAAATATCACAGTTAAGCAGTGAAAGAAGACCGTATAAAATCCCAAAAGTGAGAAAATATGATGAAACCAAAAAAAAACAGGATGAAGTATCATCGGAAAAAAACACTAAAAAAAGATCGTTTGACACAGAACAAAATGTACGTACAGTCCCACTAATATTTGGACACTCTTTAGAACAGTATAACTTTTTTTAAATTGGACTTAATGTTGCTATGAGCTACAAACGGTTAAAGATTGTGAAAATCGCATTTCACGACTTTCGGTCTATAACTGTAATTAATCTGAAAATTCTTACATCTTTCGATGCCTGTTGCTTGCTTCTCCATCAACCGATTTCGATGAAATTTTCAGCATGTGTATAATTGGCATAGATCTAAAAAATGTATTTTTTAAATTTTCATTACAAGCTCCGATAAAAAAGTTGTAAACAGTAACCTTTACAATTTTCTTCGTAATTTTTACCAACTGCAATTTTTTCAAAATTTTTTGTACACGTCACCTATTAGGTCGTAACATATGAAATGTCCGATTTTTAGCGGTAAGTTTAAATGATCATAACTTCTTTAATATTAAATTTTATTAATCAAAATAGAAACCATTACATTCCACACATTTTTTCCAATTAGTTAAAAGTTTTTGAATTCCATTTTTATAAAAATTCGGAGGTCTGGTGACAATAAATTGTTGAAAGGCATTTTCGACAGTCTCTTGATTCATAAACGTTTTCTCGTTGAGGAAATGATTTAAATGTTTAAATGATTTAAATGTCAGGTGAATATGGTGGATGAGGCAGAGTTTCATATTTTAAGCTATTCTGCTTTTGCACCGTTACTTGTCATTCCTACCACTTATGCTTATTATAAATTTTATATAAATATATAATATCACATAGTTTTATTTATAAGTTAATAGTGTATAATATGTTGTTTTTTAAAGAAAATGTGTGATTTCGTTCACGCGTCAATTTAATGCATGTCTGTAGAGATAGGTATATAAGAAATGTCCGTAAACCTAGTGTTACATATTTTATTTCTTTGTGAAATAATATTTTCTTACTTGAATACATTTTATATATTATAGATTAACAATACTTCATCAAATTTACCTACTAATGACAATAAAAGAAGAAAAGTTTCTTCAGATTCACCAGTATGCAATGGCAATGCAGTGTTAGTTGTAAAACATTATAATTCAATATTAAATGAAGATGGCTGTAGAAATAAAAGTCGAATTTTTTATATGAGAAATTTTAATAACTGGATTAAAAGCATGCTTATTGGTAAGGTTCTAATTTTAATATAGTAATCATATTTTTAGCAATGTATGATAAAAGAATTTGTTACAGATACTTATCTTATAAGTATAAAAGGTAAGTATGTACGTCCTATAAATGCATTGGATATGTGTTGTGGCAAAGGAGGAGATCTATTTAAATGGAAGCAAGGGTGTATAACACACTTAATTTGTACTGATTTAGCAGATGTATCAGTAAAACATTGTCAAGATCGATATGAAGACATACGTAACAAAAATATCAGGGAAAATAAATATCCTTTATTTACTGCTGAATTTATAACAGCTGACTGTACAAAGGTATACATTCTTACTGTTACATTTATAAAAAAAAAAAAATTTATTCTCACTATATACTTTGTGAATGGAAATTAGTTATAAAGAAGAATTTTAGGAACAATTAAGGAAAAAATTCAAGGATCCCAGTATATCACTTGACATTGTTAGCTGTCAATTTGCATTCCATTATTGTTTTGAATCACTGCAACAAGCAGAATGTATGATGAAAAATGCAAGTGAATGTTTAAAACAAGAAGGTTATTTCATTGGGACTATTCCAAATGCATATGAATTAGTGTATGTCTGCATTTTAATTGCTATTAAACATATGTTTCTTTTGAAATTCTTAATGGTAACAGTTTTGGAAATGATATCTATAATGTAGAATTTTTTTGTGATAAAACCAATCCACCACTTTTTGGTGCTAAATACCATTTTCAACTAGAAGGTGTTGTTAATTGTCCAGAATTTCTTGTTTATTTTCCAGTATTTAAAAAACTAGCTTCAAAATTTGGTCTGGAGTTGGTAATGTTTGAAAGGTAAAAAGAGTTTAATAGCTGTATTTATTATACATATACTATCTTAAATTATGTTAAAAGTAAAGGTTTTGTATTACTTAATTTTAGATTTGATAAATTTTATGAAGACAATGAGGTTCGAGGTCGAGATTTGCTACATAAAATAGGTGCTTTTGAATGTTATCCTCCCCGCAATGGAGTATCACTTGATAAATCTGAAAAAGATTATGAACATGCTAAGAAACATAAAGAAGGTCGTCAAAGCAGTTCTGACATTGGTACTTTATCCCAATCAGAGTGGGAAGTTGCTTGTTAGTATAAAATTAAGTAAATTTACTTATTAATTAAAAACTTTTGCAAACTCTATTGTAATAATGTTAATTTTGTTTCAGCATTATATTCTGTATTTGTCTTCCAGAAAAAGAAAACTAAATGGAATAATGAAGGAAAACCAGAATATGTATAATTATAAAAAATTAGTGTTAATTTTGTAGCATAAAACTGTAACTATATAATGTGTTATATACATGTGTGACTATATAAATAAGTATAAGTGTAATAAATATGTATCTGTAATATACATTGTATACTGATATTCTATATAAAATTTTCAGTAATGAGTTTATCAATATATCAGATATGACAAACAATGTGAAATCTGTCAACTTAAATATGCAATTGTGGAATAATTATAGCACTAATTATAAGTATGGGATACTATTTTCTAAAATAAATCATAAATATTGGAAGTGGGATAAAAGTATATTACTGTATTTCTTTTGTTTTCTAAATTTGACATTTAACATCTTAGAAACTATTTCGTACAAACGATTAAAATTTTATACCAATTAATTTGTTTGAATTATTAATAAGATATTTAAAAAATCGATAATAACTTATATTAATTTTAAATAATTTAACATAAAATGGCTTCTATGCACATGTGATGAGCTTCGATATTCGATTTTACGTTGCGAAGGTCTTCACTTATAATTGAAGTTTGTAACACATGAACAAAAACTGGATATTTTTCTTCAGAATTTAAGCGATTTTAATCGATGAAAAAACACAATCTATGTATCAGCAAATATTTTCATATGTTTTATTTGCAAAATTGTAAGCAACACGTTCACAACCAATGTTGTTGAAACGCAATATGACAGAATAGACAGATACGGACTGTGGGGCAAAGGGTTATATTGGGGATCGAAGAGGCGGAGCAAAGAAGCGCATGCGCACTTAGATATTTTTGATACTTAGACTGAGTCTCCTATATGATCTAAGCGTAGGCTCGGCTGCAGTCTCGCGCGGAGTGTATAGTCGAATGACGACTGACTGGTGTGTGTGCCCCCAGTCCTCTTTACTTCTCTCGCTTCTGTTAGTCCTCGCGTTGCCAGAGTCTATCAGTCGCGTTCGTATGAGAAATGGAGCTCGAAGAGCCAACAACGCAGTCAATTTCTGACTCAGTAAGTGACTATTTAGCATCTGTTTATTTCGCTGCGTTTATCTACGTGCACAGTTTTTTCATATTTTCTTTTATATTGTGGCTTTTCTCTTGCACGTACGGTATTGCCGCGGACGCGAAATTTTTCTAAGTCCCAAAATGGCGTCTGCGACTAAGTCCTACCTGGCTCGCTTCATACCGCCAGACGTTAAGTCCAATAGAAGAGTAGAATGTTATATATGATGCATCGTTCTTATTAAGATAGTATTTTGATATGAATTTCATTATTTTAGGAAAAAAAGGTTAAAGAGAACAACGATATAACTGGAAATCATAGCGGTAAGCATTTTATTCATGGAGTTTAACATACGTGCTCTATGACATAGATGAAATCGAAACTCTGCAGCAGCAAATGTTAAGCTCGACGCGACGACCAGAGAGTTGGAGCTACGAACGACCCGACCGGTCTGACACGTGTTTTGACTCTGACGAAGCGTCCGAACTACTTACGACTTCCTGCAATTCAAATTTAATTTTCGTCTTTGAGTTGGCATTTGTTCGTGTTCTATATTATGATAGTTTTTAATTTTTATTTTTTATTTCTAAATGTTTTAAATTTTTTCGTAATTTACTTTTTTTTTTAAATATTGATG